GGGTCCGCTTCTTTATTAAAGTTGTTTGTATTTATTACCCCGATAATTGATCTGTGGGACCTTCAATAATTCAAGCCTTGTTCTTTCCCTTGTTGTCTTTTTTTCTTGAAGATTCTTCGGCACTTTCCTTCAATTTTGCAAGGAAGTCCTCAATTTCATCAATATTCACTTCTGTGCCAGAGTTGCTTTGTGCTTCACCTGCTGCACAGACTTCTTCATCTAAAGTATTTCCAATGGAGGTCATTGATATATCATCTCCAATTTCTGTTTCGAAATTTTTTGCTAAATCTTTCTTTATTTCCTTGAAATATGAAGCGAGAATCTCTTTCTTAGATATAACTCCTTTTTTCATTTAGAGCTTCCTGGTAACCTGTTGGAAGGGGCTCAATTCTCCTTCGTCAATATTTGTTACCTCTTGGTTTTTACACTCATTGATCTTAGACTTGATTTGATTTATTAAATCTTCCCCATAAATCTTTCCTTGATGATCTGGTTGAACTAGTTTAGTCCAAAACTTGTTATAAACAATTCTCTGAATGCAAGGAATTCCTTCTTCGGTATAATCAGTTTGAACATCCCATTTCATTATCCAAGGAATTGAAAATTCTATAAAGAAATACATGGCTGCTATGCCATTATAGAAGATATTATCTTTCTGTAGTGAATTGATTTTAGGAGATATATCTACTCATTAAGTATATAAACTTTTGAACATGGGAGGAAGTATTTCTAATGATGGACCATATAATTTTCACCATTTAAAGAACCAATTTGGAACTTGTTGATTGTTCATATTAGAATAGAGCTTGATAAACCATGAGTGTCTCCTATTAGGATTCTCGTAAAGAAAAGTTTTATTAAAACTTTCCACATAGTCCCAATAATTAAATTTAACTGAGATTTTCTGGTCAGGATGAGTGTATTCTCAATCCTTAAGGGTACTAATTCCCCATTCATCTGAAGGTATTACCTTCTTTATAATTATCTCCGAAAAACTATAAGTTTTTCTTGTATTTGCAGGATAGAAATGTTGAATTTCAGCTGATCCTGTGGTTGAGAGTATTATCTCGTAATGCATCCTATATTTATAAGCAGGAGTAGCGTATGATGCTGTATAAAGTACCTGGCCATTAATTGCCATGGGTTATCCTTCCATTTAAGGTCAGATTGCTCCAAAAGAATTATTAACTCTTTTGTGTCCTTTTGGTTATAAACCTCAAGGTTTTCATTGTTGTCATCTGATATAACTGAGGAATAAGTTGGCATATTGGATGATGTACCTTCATCTTTTCTAGATTGTATAAAATCCATAAAATCCTTATATAAAGGGTGGTCGGTATTACCTCTTGCTATATTAGCAGCTATTAGTTTTTGATTTCCCATTAGGGGAGAATATTATTCCCCCTACCATTGGTAGATGCCCTTCCTCTTCCTCGATGTCGAGGAGGTCTGTGCGTAGGACTCATAATTTGTAAAAGTAAAGAGAGAACTATTAGTTCAAATATTCTCTTGTAAGAAAATCAGGAAGGGTATTATCAGGCCCTTTTTTATATATTATTTCGAAATCAAAGGGGGCTAATAAAGCTTGCCACCTTGCAAATATCTGTTTGGAAATATCATGTTTAAAATCTTTATTAAAGATAAACTTTGTAGCTTGGCAATCAGTTTTAATTAAAAATTTCTGATTGTATAAATCAGTCTGAAATTTCATAACACATATAGCAAGAGTTTCCCTAGCTACAATTGCATAATTTTTCTCGGAATCATTCCATTTCCCAAGTAAAACTGAACAAGATATTCTTGTTTATCCATTGGAGAGAATTGTTTTAATATCCCACCATAACCAATATCAGAAGCATCAGTTTCCACAACCTTTGCCCAAGTGGGATCAGCGAGAGTCAAATAAGGAAGGTTATTAACCTTCTGCTTTATTCTCTTGATTGATTCAGTATGATTATCAGTCCAAGCAGTTGGATTCTTCTTTAATCTATTATAAAGAAGAGCAGTATCTTTCGCAAGATCCTTTATAAAAGGAGAGATATAATTTAAGCTTCCTAGGAATCGTTGAAGCTGGATCTTATCAGTGATAACATCAGGGAACTTAGAAGCAAATTCAATACTTCTATTAATGGGAATAATTCTACCTTTTTCGATATTATGACCGAGAAATCTGATGTTAATTTGAAAAATCATCATTTTTGGTTTGGATATGACTAAACCATTTTGAATAATAATTTTTTTAAACAAATCTAAATGTTTAAAATGAGACTCTATATTTTTTGAAAATATCAGGATATCATCAATATAAACAATTATGAAATCCGTATAAGGAAGGGAGATATCATTCATAATTTTTTGAAATTTGGATGGCGCATTTTTCAAACCAAAGGGCATCACATTCAATTCATATTGACCCATTGGAACATTAAAAGTTGTTTTATACCTATCCGATTCAGATATCTGAATTTGCCAATAGCCTAATTTTAAATCAAATTTCGAAAATATAATGGCATCATGTAATCTATCTAATAAATCCTTCTTATTTGGAATAGGATATCTAATCCATTTTAAGATCTTATTGAGGGGCTTGTAGTTAATAACTAATCGAGGAACTCCTCGTTCCTGTTCGGCATGCTTATTAATATAAAAAGCAGTACAAGACTATTTGGACTTTGAGGGTCTAATTAAACCCTTATGTTGTAAGGAATCAATTTCTTTTTTGCATAATTCCAAATAATTGGAGTTCATCTGACAAGGATGAGCCTTGGTGGGGATATTATCCTCAGAAAAGTCTTCTCCATAAGGAAGACTTATGATATGCTTTTTCCTAATCCAAAATTGATTTGGATGGTCACCACAAATAGAAGTAGAAAAATAGCTTTTGGCCGGTCTATCAAGCTAGGATTTATTCTTAATAAGCCTTCTGATCTCAGACATAGTGTAAGGTCCTTTTTGAGATGGAATTCCTTCCACCTCTGTTCCTACCTCTGAAGTTGTAGGAAGTTTATCAATAATTTGGGACCTCAATTCAGGGTCTTTAATAACCCTTAATAGTTCTATCATGCTATCATTGGTCAATACATTGATATTCAAGTCTGTGAACTGGGAATAGATATTATAAAGATCATTATCAGTGCTACAACACTGTTTTGAGCATTTTCCCCTATTAGAGGATTCTTGCTCATCATCAGAAGATGAAATATAATCTTCTTCTTGGAGGACTCATAAGTCTTCACTAGTTGATGAATCATCTCCATCACTATCAGAATTATCTGATGAGGAATTTAAAAGAATCTTATATAAAGAATCTTTAGTATTGTCATCTAAATCAAGGTCTTTGATTTTGTCCTTGATTTTGCAATCCTTTGCATAATGGCCTATTCTTCCATATTTATAGCAGGCCTGAAGGTTTTTTGATTTAATAAAACCCTTTCTGGCTTTATGAAAAGCTTTTCTTCTTTGGGTCTGTTCATAACATTTTTCAGTCGAACCCTTTTTCTTCTTGAAATCCTTCTTCTTATGGGATTTCTTTCTATTAGAAAGTATGTCAATGGCGAATTGCTCACAAAATTCGCCTAATTGTTATCTCTCATTGAGACGATGTTTCTTAATTTGTTGGTTTAGCTTGATCTCATTACATAGAGCTAAACCTTCCTGAGTGCATAAACTGAATAGTTTACCATATGAGTAAGTATCATAATTGATACTCATCCTTGTGCCTCAAGGGATATTTCTAACCCTTTCAGCAAATAAGGGAGGGAGTCCATCTATAAATTTGGACTTGCAATGAGTACTATTACTCTCTGGTAATTCCATCACTCTGAATAAGAAAACAACTTTATACCATCGAAAAGATGTAAGGGTTTTACACCTCAGATTCTGGAGCATAGTTCTAATGGTCTCACTATTATCAGACCATCTTCCAGAGAATTGTTCGATGATATTCATAACTAAATAATAGACTGAGTTTTGAACAGTCTTTTCTTCTTCAGTCTTGGTCGCGTTCATTATTTGACAGCGTTGGTCATGAGTGAGATAATTATCCCACCAGCCTTTTAGCTGACCAGTAAATCCGGCTATAATTATTTCGGCAATTGCCCTATCTGTATTTTTATTAACTTTACAGATAGTGCTGTACATAAGCATTCTATGTACTGTTGTATAGATTTGCCTTTCAACAAGACCATTTATGTTCCATTCATAGATATCTGACCCAATGTAACCTTGGTGGTAGTGGTCATTGTCCTGTTCTTCTATTAGGACATCTTGAAGGGTTGGTCTAGGATAATAAAATATTTTTTGGTAAGGTTTACGAGCATATTTTTCAGAGATTTTATTAATCTCGTCGTCTACCTTTAGATTGCTAGGAGATGTATGCTCTAAACTTAGAAGATTAGCTCTAAATTCACCCAACTTCTTAATGAGAAGTTCCTCAATATCATCTAGACTTCTTAATTTGAAGTTTCTTACCTCGGGAGGTGGTTGTACTTGTAGTAGCGATTTTCTCCTTACCTATAGTATCCTTCTACTGGTTTTTTGGACTTCATCTATAAGCTTGTCTAATTTTTCATGAATCTTAATAACCTGTTCACCCAGAATACTAACATACATATTAGTATAATTGTTTTGAGTGAGCATGATATTTAGATTCTTGACTGTTATTGCAGTAACATCATTTTCAAATATTTTTGAAAAAGCACTACAATAAACAATTTTATCCTTTTCCCCCATTTGAAAGATTGTTGAGGTGGGAAAATAGAATTAACAATTTTTCCACTAATGAGCATATAATCTCTTTCTAACACAGAAACATAGTTATAAACATGCTTAGACATAAACCAAGGAACAAAAACAATAATCATATTCTTCTTGCTAATATCCTCATAAAAATCATGTCTAAAGAATTGGATTTATTCACTGCTCATGTTTTCATGAAACCATTTTCTGAAAACAGCCCATCTGGGTTTTAGAAATTCTTCTAAAATTATTTTTCTTGTCGGTGAACCCGGACTAAAATCTATTTGGTTTTCAACCATTATTAACATCATTTGAAAAATCCATTTCGAATGCATTAGGTTCAAGGTCCGAATTAACCTTGGCAATATTATCTCTACCAATGTTGATATTATCAATTCTATTATTTTCTCTAATTTGAGATGTAGATGCTCTAGATGGAAAATCTACCACATAATCAATTGGAGAGATATAAGAAGAATTTGATCTAGTTAGTCTAGATGATAAGCTGATATTATCAACCTGCACGGGTTCATTGAACCTGATCTTAATAGTATCATCTAAGGTTTATTCTATTTCTGTAACCTCAGTATTACCAGTATTTCGAGGGGCAACCGCTTCCTCTATGACCCATTCTTTAGGGAAATCAATTTCATCTCATTTAATAGGTCTTCTGGTGGTTACTTTGGATTTACCAAAGTTGGTTTCTATAAGAATGGTTTCATTTTTGAAATCCATAATCTTGCACATAGGATTCAAAGTATATAAAGGTTTGAAATAAATCCTATAACAGATACATATAACCTTTGTACCAGGCAAATAATCATAACCATGTAATTTAATGCTGAGAATTAAAGTATTCAAAGAGTTCTCGTCATTAAGAGATATATGCAAATTGGGATATGCATTAAAATAAACAGGGCCATAGGCCAAACTGGTTTGCACAGTCCATATAAGAGACTTTTTCCAGTTCTGGTTTCTGCCATCTCTGAGAGCTGCAATAAAGCTTTCAGGTAAGCCTCTCAAAGTAAGTGGCTTAAAAACGACTTGTATAAAGTCTATATGTATGAATCTATGTGAATCCATATAAGGAGCCAAATCACTTTCAGATAATAATCTGAACGTAGCATGGTCACTATCTACAGTGATAGTTTCTTCAGTAGTTTTAACTACTTGTTTTAAACCTATTTTTTCAAAAGTACCTAACTGGTATATTACCTTAGGCTTGACTAATGGTATAGTCCACTTAATAAGCAGGTCTAATTGTTGGGGCAATTCATATTCCTCTTTCCTACTGTTTTTAAAAGTAGTCTTCTTTAAAATGATATCCCATATAAGAAAATAGTGTTAGGCTTAGCTTCCTAATACATATAANATATATATAAGCTATATATTATATAAGGCAATATATATACATACTATACATACTAAACATATACATACTATATATATATAAGCAATTTATATTGTATAATATACTAAGTGTGTGTGTGTGTGTGTGTGTGTGTGTGTATATATATATAAGCAATTTATGTTGTATAATATACGAAGTGTGTGTGTGTGTGTGTGTGTGTGTGTATATATATATAATTTACAAAAAATTGCCTTAGATAAAAACAATTCAAAAAAATAGCCCGGAACACTTAGGCCCCTTTTGGCCCGTGGGCTCGGCCCATTTAGCCCGGGGCCATGTGGTCTTAGGCGCACAGTGGGCCAGTTCCACCCTCCAAGACCGTTAAGCTTGGGACCGTTTGGCCTGGGACCGCCAGAGCCCGGCCCGCCAAAGCCCGTGTGACGACCCGGCCGGTCGTCTTAAGAATTAACGCCTCGATCCCCTATTAACTACTTTTCCCAAGTTTATTTCTGCTAATGTGATTTGCCGGGATATTCGGTTTTGAGTTTCGGGGAGTTTTGGGACACTTAGTCCCTAAATAAGAGCTTAAGCATTGGAAAGTTGACCTTAGTCGGAACAGTGTGAAGATGGCCTCGGAATGGAAATATGATGGTTCCGTTAGCTCCGTTGGGTGATTTTGGGGTTAGGAGCATGTTCAGATTGTGTTTTGGAAGTCCGTAGCTAATTTAGGCTTGAAATGCCGAAGATTGAATTTTTGAAGTTTCTGGTTTGATAGCGAGATTTTGATCCGAGGGTCGGAATGGAATTGCAAGAGTTGCAGTAGTTCCGTTATGTCATGTGTGATGTGTGTGCAAAATTTCAGGTCATTCGGACAAGGTTTGATAGACTTTTTGATCGAAAGCGTATTTTGAGGAAAATTGGAGTTCTTAGGCTTAAATCCTTGATTAATTCGAGATTTCGATGTTGTTTTAGGTGTTTTAAGGATTGGTACAAGTTTGAATGAGGTATTAGGTGATGTTGGTGCTTTTTGTTGAGGTCCCGGGGGCCTCCGGGTGATTTCGGATGGTTGACGAGAAGTTTGAGAAATTGTTGCAGTTGCTGTATTTTT